AAGTCAAATGTGCGTAATACCTATAAGAAAGGCTCGTTTATAGCGTTCACAAAAGTTTTTCTAGCCAAGAAAGAAAGGATAATGCGCGAGAGAAACAGAAAATATGCCGGACCGCGAGGTTTACACTGCTACCCAATAGATGGCGCCAGTGTGTCCCCTCATTGTAAGAGGTTTCAAGGAACCCAGTTTTAGGAGGTCGCAAGAGTGTGAACGGGCCTTGAGCATGTTGAAACGTCATGTTCCGTGTCACAACGAAAAATTTTACAGCGGAGCTGTTAAGGGCTAGTTTCCCCAGGATCGTGTCCCCCGCAAACAAGTGAAGACACCAAACTTTGGACACCTACCGCCATCTATGAGCGACGGCGGCAAGCAACGTATCTGTTTGCCGCGGTTGCTCATAGATGGCGGCAGCCTTTCCCCTCTGGCTTGCCGACTTGCGGCCGGCCATTACTTTCCATCGTAAAGCTCCGCTGGTCTTCCTTCTTCACCGGAGTGAAAAAGCTGAAAGTCTTTTTTCGCTTTCTTTTTTAAACATATATTGAGTTCCGTGATTGGCCAAGCCCCCCTCCGTAGATGGCAGCGATTGGCTCTCCCCAGTGGTATCCGGGAGGGAAGACGTTCTAGGTTTCTTAGTATCGGCGACAACAGCTATGGTGGCTGACAGCTTAAGAAGCGCAGGGCGTGGGCTTTTAAGTTCGTGCTTACTTGTTCTCGATTGGTTCTTTAGCACTCTTATCGGCTAATGATGCAATCTCATTGGAGCGATAAGATGATGTTCGGTGCTTCCCACGCCCTGCATATCTTAGCTTGTCCGCAACAGCTTGAGAAACACAGACTAATTTTGTTCGCGCATCTTTCTTTGCGTTCTCGGGCGATCTTATGGGCTCATGAGGCAACGTCATTCGCCGCGGATGAGCGATAATAATCTGATGCTTCGAACGCACCACGACCGCGTTTTTTGAAGTTGTCGGTGTACTATATACACTCTAAAAAAAAAAAGCCCGTGCGTCTGCTCTCCCACACAGCACTCGTAGAGCCAATCAGCGCAACTTACGGAGGCAGCTCAGCGAATAACGATGCCGAAACATATGTTGAGACCAAAAAACGCAGTCTGAGTTGTGACATTATCAATGGTAAACGTCACGCTTGCATTGCTGAATGTCACAACTCAGACTGCGTTTTTTGGTCTAAACATATGTTTCGGCATCGTCATTCGCTGATCTGGCTCCGTAAGTTGCGGTGATTGGCTCTCCTACTGTGTTGCGGGAAAGTAGACGCACGAGATTTCTTTTTTTTTTTTTTTGAGAGAGTATACGCTACGGCACTGCTGTCGGCACTGCGCATGCGCAGATGCTTTGCCTCGGCCGAATTTGGTTTCTGCGCAGGCGCAGTGCCCACCACACAAGGTGTGGGCAAACGAGGGCTTGTTTGGAAACGGTCTGTTGGCCGATGTCTTGCTTCTAAGCATCACTTAGGGTTCTCGGCTGTCTCGCGTTTTTTTGTTTTTTTTCTGCGTTGTGGCATAAACTCGATTAGCCTCTTGCTTCTCGATGGATTCGCGCTTAAAAAAAGATTGGAGCTTAAAACACCTCTTGGGAGGACGGCCCGAAGGTCTGATCGGTATACGGCGAAGGAGACGACGGAGGCAACGGCGCTCCCACTCGTTCAAACTACTGACGCGGACTGGGAATGCCCTTCGCTCATTACGAAGATTAATTAAGACCGGCCTTTATTCTCACAGATTTTGTTTTACTTTATTCTCTTAGCGGGAAAATGCGGAGGGAAACGAATTCCAAGCCCATCTCTCCTCCGCGCGCGCGCACACACATACACACACGCTTATACACACACACATACTCGCACGCAAATAAACACGCATATCGACATGCGCACTCATACGCACACACGCGCACAAGCGCACTCATAGACACACAGTTGCACATACACGAACGCATACATACGCACACTCACGCACGCGCACGCACGCACGGCCACACTCCTTTTCACTAAAACACGCACACCGGGCCAGTACCCATGTACACACACATAGTCACTCGCATACGAACACATACGCACACACTTGCACACACACACACACACACCCGCACGCACCCGCACGCACGGATGCGCACACAAGCCCACATATGCATACACGTTGCGCTGTCATGTCCGAGATAAAGCGATACTTCTCTTTCAAACGGAATACAGAGGAAGTTCAGAGTGGCTGAATAGTTAAAAAATCTTTCGGAAGAATTACACATATTACACATCTTACACAGAATTACATACAGCGTTCGTCCCGTCAAATTCAACACGTCTTTGTGTTGTTTTTTTCGCTGTTTCTCGATATTGCTATGAACCAAGTCGCCTGCATCGCCGCGTTAATACACACACAAGGACATCACACGGACTGGACGAAAGATGTGCCGCCCGTGTTCTGTCTTTCTCTGCGTAATTGTTTCGCAAGTTTGTTCACCAACCATCGCACCCGCCTCAAAACAGCCAAATAATACACACTATACAGCTAAATCTCACACCCAATGATTCTCCAACACCCGGGACATTCGAGAACGGTCGCTGGTGGGCTCGCAATATGGAGGATATATATGGGGTGGGCTGAGCGATGCCTCTCGTGTAAAGTTCAATTTCAGAAGGCGGGGGCGGGTTTCGAGTGCGGAGCTTTAGGTGGAAATTGGAGTGGCGCCCGCCTGTATATTGCAACCCCCCGGCGTTTATTTCCACTGGGGGATCGCTCAGGTTCCGACAGTGGGTCACGAGCGACATGGAACGCCCGTAGCAATTTCCTTCCGAGTTATTGACGAGCTACGTTGTCGCGTCAGACGAGTTTAGAGCAATCCTGTGTACATTGCTAAAAAAACAAAAATTTAATTGATTACGGCGAGTAATACTCTCGATTAAAAAGTATTCAATTAGATTACTTGATTACTCGAGAAGAAAAATACCTGAACGTTACTTGAATGAGTAATCTTTACTTTTCCGGTCACTTCAGATTTCCGGAACTACATTTATTTCTGCCGGTTTGAAAAAAAACCTTTCGCACTGTTTATTCGTGTAATAAAATCACCGGATTACAAACTACTCATCTTCTAGATCGACCTGCTTTGGTATACCGGTTGTCCCATTTTCGGACACTGGGTTCAAAGATTATTTCATGGGAAGGTTGTGGGAACAAGGCCGCGTTTGAAAAAGGGACGGAGGATTTTTTAAGGACGAGGCATTGTATTATTTTCGAAGGTAAATAATTTACTTTCATGATTAGTACATAATAAAGGTAATCTATTACTTACAAGTTTACTCTACGAAGTGGCTGATTAAAAAGTATTTGATTACTTGTGACGAGTAGACCGTATAGGCTTTGTTTCAAGCCGCAGTGTGCATCGCGCGGGACATCCACCGAAGCAATAAAGATGTGTACAAAGGAATTGTTGATTATGCATTTAAAAAGAAAAACTCAGAACTACCGACAATCTAGAAAATTCGATAAGTACAGACATCCGTTTCATCATGAGACATTGAAATAAAGTTCCTGACTTTATGCTGCACCGCAGTGCTCAAAGAAGTACCGATAAGAAACGACTGCTATAGATATTCTTTCTTTCCTCGGGGCAATTGAAGAATGGAATAATTTAAGTAATGCTACTGTCACTCTGCTGTCTTCTGGTCTGTTTGCAGAGGCTATGGAGTTACACTTTTGCTAGTTTTATTTTGCTTCTGCTGGTGTTTCACCGCATTTCCAATTTTTCGAATTTTGTAACCACTCGCAGCTTTTTGAGGGAAGCTGGTAGAACTGTAAAATAAATAAAGAAATAAATTAGTTTAGCATGAGCTGTGCCAACATCAATATCGATGCTCTATCAGTAAACAAACAAACAAACAAACACTGGGGCGCAGTACCGCCGCGTTCTTTAACGTTTGGTTCACTCCAATGAACGAAAAATAATGATAGCCATTTTTATACACTGTTTTAAACCAAAGCTTAATTCATATGGCGCGATTTTGCTCGCGATGTCGCAGCTGCGACATTAAATCCCGCAGCCTCCACCGCACTTTTGTTTTTTTGCTTTTCGCACGAACGATTGTTGCGATTACAAAATCGCAAGCAAACTCGCCCCATATGTATTAGGAATGCGGAGCGCAGCCGCCGGTACGGTCCGATGTCGCCAATCAAGCAGCTGCAAATGTGCACCGTCACGGCGCTCCTTGATTCCGTGCGTTTGCTATCCAAGCAAAATGAATGCCGTGATCCTGAGCGTCTTTTTTTTTTTGTGTGTGTGTGAACGTAGAAAACGCACACAGATCGCGCGATGAAGAGCAACACCACCTATAGACAGAAGGCCTCCGCATGGTCTCCTCTCCCTCTATAAAACGTCATCAGAGTAGGATCGCGCTAATTGGCTATTAGGTCCGAGTGCGACCTTTGACACGCTGATTGGACACAAGCCCCAGCCGAACACTTACAAAGCCCAACCTCATGCCTTGATCGATCTGACCGTTATGACGCGTGCGGAGGGCTTTTGTCTAACCATAGATGTCCACGAGCCGTGGACATCCATGGTTCGTTGCAGTTTTGCCCTTTCCCTTCGACAAACGCCCGGTTCTTCGCCAAGCCCGTTAGCTAAATGTGGCGTCGTTTTGTTTTGTTCTTCACGCAGGGTGCGGCCATGAACGCCGAGGAAGAGGACCACAACTACCACCACGGCTGTCCGCCGCGGAGGGACATCTTCAAGATCACGGGCCATGCTCCATCCCTGCTCTCGCCAACCGACGTCAGCCGAAGGCCCCCTGGTCACCGTCCAGCGAGCAACAACCACCACCACCACCACAACAACAACAATCACGGCGACCTCCCGATATCGGACTTCTTCCAGATGGAACGCGTCGACAAGACCCCTTGCCTCACGCCCGGAACCGTCTTCCCAACCGAACCGACGCAGTCCTACCCGTCGCTGGCGCAGGTCGTGTTCGACAGTTCCAAGTCGCCTATGGACTCGTGCGACTCGTGCGTTCTCGAACCTGGCAGCACCACGACGCTCCTGGAAACGCCCCCCAAGACCGCAGGACTCGCCGAAGAGTGCTGCGAGTCGCTCTTCGTCCGCTGGAACTGGCCGGCCTTGCGGGTGGGCTGTCTTCTAGTCTGCGTCAGCTGCCTGGTTGCCGTCCTGTGCGTCATCGTCGGCGTCCTCCTGCTCAGACAACCGTCCTGCGACCCGGACAGGTCCTGGTGGCAGGGAGGCCTCATGTACGAGGTCTTCACCGCCTCGTACGTGGACTCGGACGACGACGGCTTCGGGGACTTCAGGGGACTTGCGTCCAAGTTGGGGTACATCAAGAAGTTAAGGGCGTCCGCCCTGAGGTTGACGTCTGTGTTCAGTGCGTTGGACTATCCGCTAGAGTACGAGCACATCATCGACTTCGAGAACGTGGATCCTCATCTGGGCCACATGGGTGACTTTGAGTACCTCGTCCGTGAAGTGCACCGGAACGGCCTCCGTGTGGTGTTGGATATTAACCCGGCCCTGACGAGTGACCAGCACACCTGGGCTGCCCACTGGCTGCTTGATCAGCGCGGGGAGTATGCGTACTATTACGTTCTGGTGAACGACACATCGATGAATGTAAGTACCTACTTGAAGATATCGCGGGCATTTTCACCAGACACTGAACAAGAGTAACTAAATACCGTTACGTACGTTACTCGCACAAAACGAACGCTACTTGTTGCCGAGATTCAAAATGCACCTGAAGTAACGAGTGACTTTCTTCCTACTTTAAATGCTTTTTGAAGCAGCTTTCCAACATTTTTGTCGTTAATAATGCCTAGGTTTTAAGCGCCTTCATTGGCATCGTTTTTTTATTGTTTTTGTTTTTTCTTGTTGGCGTTTTTCTTGGGTCTCTAAAGTTATAGCTAAGGGGGGGGGGGGGGGGGGGACCAAATGGGGGATCAAAATATGTTGTACACGTACTACTTTAAAAGTAACCAGTAATTAGCGTTCTCATGAATAAAATAATGAAAATACGTCACTCGCTTCTTCTCTGGAAGAGTACCTCTAAGGGCCGGTTGCACCAACGTCGCTTATCTTAACCCAAAGCGGCACTTTCCTAAGCCGGCTTAGCGCCCTAAACCGAGCTTAGGTAAGCACGGGTTTAAATTCCGGTTGCACCAAGGTTAAGGCGGCTTTACAGACGCGCCCCTAGCTAAACGCTGGATTTGCGTAGGGAATCTAGGGACAAACAGAGCAAACTAGGGAACGCTCAGAGCGACGAATACGATTGGCGGAGAGGAATCACGTGATGTAAACAAAAAAAAAAGAAAAAGAAAAACTGCCGTAGTTGTTGTCGTCGGCGTCTGCTTTTGGCTGTATTCCTTCGGTGAGTAACAAATTAAAGGTCTCCAAATTCAATCATTTTTTCGTTTAACTTGCAATAACAGAAGTCAAAGCTTCAAATAAACACGAATGCTCTTTACATCTGTGATTGTGTGTTTAATATCGGTTGATAACAGGATATTTTGACAGTGGTAGTAGTTTTTGTGCTCACATTTTGAGGCGAAGGAGCCATCGGGGGCCCCAAACTCACCGAACGCGAGAAGGACACTCTACTCCCTACATCGCTGAAGACAAAACATCATGGATATAAGTAGGCAGGTAAGATGACTACTAAAACTAAGTCAAGCCTGAGACCGATGAAGTTCAAAACAGTGACGAACTCGCCACGGCAGCTGCGAAAATGCCCGGAAATCGTCGAATAGAAGTCGTCGAGAGGTCAGGTCACGAGACCTTGCATCGACGGTACTCGTTGCTATCAGCAAGGTGACAGAACTGCACTGTACCGTCGTTGAACATCCGCTGCAGCCTCAAACGAACTTCAGTTTCACACTGTCGAGTTCAGAAAAAAAACAACTCCCACTAGTACATCACATCGCGCCGATAAGAACGGTCGTCTCTTCGCATCACCTGCCCCAGCCTGCCCCGATACAGCAATGAACGAATCTAACATAGTAGTCGTTACGATTTGTCGTCGCCACGAATGAAAGATATAAAGCAAAATATTCCTAAAAAATCGCGATCACCAAAAAAGTTACGGAGGACACAACAAGGCGCAACTTTCAACTGAATTTTATTGAAAACGTGTTCCGGTATATAGTCTCAACCATCGTCACAATGACAACAAACGACAAAAGTAAAGGGAAAACACCATCACAGAGCACAACTCGGAAACAACAGTATCTCGTTCTCGGGAAACGAATGAAAGATATAAAGCAAAGTATATAAAAAAAAATGCGATCACCAAAAAAGTTACAGTTATGGAACGATACAGTTTTCTGAAGCCAAGATTCTACTCGCGAGATAAGGAAACTTCACTGAAGATTGTCTCAAAACTCAGAAAACGAAAGAAATTGAATTTTCGCTGTTTTATTACTTAAAAGCGCCGCAATCTAATGCAAACGGCAGAGGTGTCGACAATCAGCTGATCGCCGAGATCATGTACTGCCACTATTCAACGCGCTGATCAGATTGAAGGATACGCGCTGCAAGTGTAAATAAAGAAGGTGGTAAATAACAATACGTTACAGCTATGCGAAAATTAGTAAGTACGTACGAATAAGCTCGTTGACAGAAGAACCAACGGGAAGACAGACGTGAGCCCCACAGCTCCGTACGTTTCTCGGTTAGGGCTAACACGCCCTGAAAGTGGAGAGCCAACTTGAAAACAGGGGTCGATAAACACTTCACGCGACAATATTTTGCATTCTTGTCACAAATGAAGGTCATTTTGTCGAGACTTTCACGCTGATGTAGCCTAAAACACTTTGCACAACCAATTTTGTCCACCGCGTCGACCGTGACAAACCAGCCGCCATGTTTTTAATCCAGGATTAAGAAACAACCAGAAGCAAAGCGCCCAATGTTGGGCGCTTAAGTTAAGCGTAGTTTAGTGCTAGGTTTAGCGATAAGCGAGTTTGGTGCAACCGAACGAAACCGAAACTAAGCTTAAGTTCCCGGCTAAGCTCCGCTTTGCGCTAAGCGACGTTGGTGCAACCGGCCCTAAGTCATTGCTTTGTTGCCGAAAGCAGTAACCAGTTAGACTAACGCGTTACTCTTAACGCGTAACGTACGGCTGATTTTCATCGTGTTACGTTGTCTCTACCTCCCTGAAGATATTGAAGATATTACCCCCTTGAAGATGCATGCCCTTGTTTGTGAATTAGTCCTCACTGCTAAACTGAAAATCCATATGAAATCTTGCTTGAACATTGGTGTTGTTTGGTCATCATCCATAAAACGAGACTAGCTTTAAGGCCGGTTCTCACATGCAGCGAAGCGCTTATGTAGCGCTTCTCACGTGCCGTCAACTACTTATCATCTGCCATGAGCAGCAGTTTTGACGGTGCGATACAAAGCTGGTGAACGCTCCCGTCGGCACGTGCTTACCCCGAGGTCAGTGCTATGCTTGTAGCGCTCCGCTGCATGTGTGAACAGACCTTTATAATAATATAATAATATGTTTTATTTTCCGTCAAAAGTGTATGACGGAGGGAGACCGAGGAAAAAAGCTGCATGATGCAGCTTGACAAGTCCTCGGCCCCCCATCCTTACATTTGGCAGCAGTGGCACAGAAAACAAAACATTGCATTGCATTCCGGAGGCTTGACGCAAACAGCCGATAAAGCCCGAGCGGGTGTTAGGGGCAGGATTACTAAAAACCCTTTGCCACCATGCGCATGAAGGAAAGGCTTTACAACATCCGCCCTTCCCCCCCCCCCCTCCTCCCCCAGAAAAAAAAAAAAAAAAACGACAGAAGATTGTGCGATTCTAGTTCGTTAGATAAAAGCTGCAGACAAGTTTGGGCTTTAAAAAAATGCTTAGCTGAATGCCCGATTGTACCGAGGCGCATTTGGCATTCGGCAAAGCGTTAAAAAATCGTTCTCTCTTTTTTTTTTTTAAAGTTTTGTGACGTTAATAAACAGTACGTTTGTACTTAGTGGCGTTGTAAAGCCTTTTTTTTTTGTGAAAATTTGACGGCGGAGCCAGTTTTGTAGGTCTTATGTTGAAAAAAAAAACTGTAGTAGCTTCCCAACATTCTTAAGCTCCCGTCAATGGAATAAATTATGCTGCCCTACAATATGAACACCTTCAAGGAACAGATGCCAACTTGGCGAAATCTTATCATCTTGACGGACCCCCAAAAATACTCGTAATCGGCTAAAAGTGGCTGAAACGTCAAATCCTGTCACAAAATCTGTCGCGCACTTTAAAAAATAAAATGAAAAATGTCTTGGAGTGTACAAGCGCTTCTCGTACACAACGGACAGCCTTTGTGTCGACAAGCCTTTACCCGTTTGGTGCAAAACTCCAAAGGGACCGAATGGATGGATGGATAAATCCGGCTGAGCCCCTTGGATCGGGCGGTAGGCTAAGCCACCTAGGCAATGTCCCGAAAGACCAACACGCAGCGCCCCCTCTGTAATTTTTAACCAAGCATTTTTTTTTTGCATTCAAAAACATGCGCAACACTTTAAGAGATGTTTCGCTAGCGTGTTGGCGTACATCTGCAGGAAATGAAAGCGCGGAACGTGCATAGTCAACAAGAGCTGAAGGAACGTAGGACGGGGCGAGTCCCGAGTTCCTTACCATCGCTCCGCCGGCACTGAGACTGCGGCAATCCGGAGCGCAAGTTCGTCTACTTCCTTTGCAGGAGTTGCAGTGACGTCAGAAATACACCGATCTCTGATTGGCTCTGATCGGAGAACAGTGGGTAGACTTCGAAGCAAGCTGCCTTGAGGTCTACACACTATCGTTCATTCAGAGCCAATCAGAGCTCGGCTTCTTCCCAACGTCACCCCAACCCCTGCAAAAAAAAAGAAAAAAAAGCAGATGATCACTTATCAACGAGCGTGAACATATAGATTAACCCACACCCTTTATTTTCTATACTATATGTAGGATTCCGTGTTTTCGGAGTTTCGCTGTCTTCAAATTCGGAGGGTTGTTTTTGCGGAATTTATTTTTCGCAGAAAATTCGGGCTTTATCAAATTTCAGTTTTTTTTTTTTTTTAGAATACCATAACTTTTTTTTATTTTTTTTTTACTGCGTTCTTGTATTTTAAGAATTCAAAAACAAATAAATATGGTTTGTGTGTCATGACCCGTTGTCCTGAAGGAACCTCGACGTGCTAAAAGACGAGCCCCTTTTGTCATTGGTTCTCGATTTCAAAGCAAACTAGGTGGCGCATCTCCTCAGGACCACTGACCTTATGCTTTTATGAACTTTCGTTGTAAAACACCGTATTTTTTTTGCTTATTTTTGTTGTTTTGAACTGAACATTCGGAGTTGTTCGGATAAATCCGAAATGGCGAAAACTTTACCGGCGTGTGTTTTTCGGATTTTTTTCGGGTTTATTTGAAAACATGGAGCCCTAGCTCTATGTGACTCTTATCGCCGCAATGTTTCGCCGCCGCCCTCTTATGGTTTCCGTTCGCGATGTCAGGACCAGGATTTGCCTCGCCGTGTCATCACGAGCTGTGATCCTGGTTATCTATCATAGGTTGCGGAACCACAAGTTCGATGGTGAGTGTGAAAAGTACGGTGGAAGCTTAGAATCATCGCATTCTGA